TTCACATATTCAGAAAGCACTTGCAATTTGACAATTTAGAACTGCACTATAATTAAATATAAAGGATTATCTAATTCCTATAAAATCTAAGACGTCAGATTAGTTGTTCTGCGATCAATGTATCAAATTATAAAAAATGTTTCCGGAACTGTCCATCCCTGGTGCATACCATGTGGACAGGTGCGCACTTCTGATCTCCCGATTATTAAGTACCAGTTTACAGGTAAATGCATTCGGCTATGGTCGCAATGGAGTGCTCTGTCTAAAACAAACCGCTCATTGACTTTAAATCGTCAAAGAAAAGCTTAGTATAATCTCTCGTAACCCAGTTTCGTGCCTTTTCTGATATCAGAGCAACGGGACTAGAATCAATTTTATTTGAAATAATCAAATCAATATTTGCGATAGTTCGTCATCGATTAGATCGATTCTGTATAATTAATTGCTTCAATAAATTCCAAAGGAGTGTTCGTACTTTATTAAAAGTTTAATTGCAATTAATTCGTTAAAACGCGGAAGAGCTAATCAATCATTTAACTTAAATTACATCGAAGTCTTGATGTCTATAATTAGACAAATGGAAGTACTTTATTATTCATGCGCGAATATAAGTAATATTTTATTGCAAGTAGATAGTTACGATCCGCTTATCTTGTTATAAAAGATAGAGGAAGTTGTCCTTTCAAGAACGGAAGTCCAACATCCTGTCGAATAAAAAAAGAAATATTACTATCTTTATCACATGGGATGTTCATGTAAAAGCCAGCCAGTAATTGAACAAGCAATGATAACGAACGAGTATTTGTACGCGAGAGACAAAAAGTGTTACTGGGTTATAGGCGACACTTTATCAAATAAAGAGCAGCGATATAGCGTGCGTAACTTAAATCTAGAGAAATCGACTTTAATAAACTCTGGTCCACGGTTATAACGAGTTATGGGGTACATAATTGCGTTTGGTTTACGAGGACGTTTCGCAGAATAGATTCGTTAGCCGTGATGCATTATAAAAATGAGAAATCTCGAATTTCTGCAGTTCGCGGAATGCGACACACGATATTCAAATCAATTTCGCTACGGAGGCAGTTCTTCGTTTAAGAAATATTTATGAACAGTCGTTAGTAGCGCGTTCTCTGAATGAGTAGAACTTTTCGAGAGAGGTCTGAACTTTTTATCGCCGCGTAGATACTACGAGAAGATAAGAGGTTGTTAAAATAATTCTTGGTATTCGTCCGAAAGCTGGACGAGATGAGCAATTTCGGTCGGGGAAAAGTTTATGGGATCGTGTCGTGTTTCTTGGAAATTCGAATGACGGCGATTACGCGATTTCGTGGGCGCTGTTCTGCGATCACAGAAGCGATAAAAACAGCCCGCGTCTCCTACGCTCGCCTTCGTACTCGTGCAAGCTGTACTGTCGCACGTTGTCACGATACGTCTCCTACTTGATCCTATTTCAATCGAAGTCTTCACTCTATAAAAAGGCGATTTTGTAACGCTCGTTTTAAAATAATAGCGTACAATTTTTATTTGAAACATCGCAGTTATCTGTGATCTCATTAAGTTAACATCGTTTATATTTTCCATGCGCGAAAAGTATTTATAATTTCGTTACAAAAAATTGGATCGTGGTTATTAATACATGTAAATTGAAGCTTGAAATTTTTATAATACTGTTCATACCGAAAATAACGAACAGAAACGAAGACGGTTGATCCGATTTGTATTATGAAACGAGTTTAAAAATTTGTGGAAATTTCATGGTACAAATGTAATCAAACCGGGACGTAAACTAAGCAAGTTATATTTAGCAAGTTAACCCGATGGAACGTTCGAGTGACGCGTTTTCATTTCCAACTATAAATGTGTTCGGACACGTTCTCATTTCGCGGGTTACCCGTTTTCCAAGTGTCCATTTTTTTACTTCGATTCCTCCAGGGATAAATTGGCGTACTAAATTTAGTACACAGCACATGGCTTTCCTCTGTTTATCGATGCGAGTAAAACGGATATACAAGTATAGAAATCCTGTTTCTCAGATGGTAGAACTTTCAGAAATAATCTACACATTTTCAGTTTGCTGTGTCAATAAAATTGTTATAAAGCCACGAAGCAGGAAAATAAGAAAGTACAATTTAATTTCACATTACTAGAGAAACATCAAATGTTACTTTTGAAACCAGACGAGAACGATTTGAAGAATTGTAACAAGCTCTATTGAAATCATGACAGACCTTGTAACGAGGAGAATAACGTAGGCGTTTATAGTTTGCAGATGAGTTCGATGCGACCTTCGCCTCTCGTCATCAATACAAAGCAATGAAGACAGATTCATAAATAGGTTTTTATCATCTGCACTTACTGCAAGAGTCGTACTTGAGCGTCTATTCGCGAGCGTAAAGAATTAGAGGAACGTGCATTCAACTTGTTGCGAACATTTTGTAAAGAATCGTGATTTCTGAGTATCTGGGTTATCGCTTCGTTGCTCCTATTAAGGTCTCACGAGATTTATCGTCAGTCACGTTAACCGACGTTATATATTAGAGAAAATTTTCAAATAAATTGAACCGTACGCCGTCCCGAGATCGGAGCCAAATGATTCGAGGCTCTGGTTTAAATCACGTTAGATTATAGACTATCATCGCGTAGGAAGTTTATAATGATAACAGAAGTTCAATGTTGGTTTATATCACGTTAGAAGAGAGGGGGAGATGAAAAACGTGTGCTATATCCGAAATTTGAACGCAGATACTTAACGATCGATCGTCTGTCGCAGAAATCGCAATGCGGACCAAACTGCAGCTGCTCTTATTTACGTTGCTGTTAGTGGCCCTTCTGGTAGACGTCTCGGCTCAGGTGAGTTAATAAAAAAATAAGTACAACTAAAACAATAAAAACTGTGCGACTACATATATTCCTAATAAATGGTAAATAATAAATATTGACTCATGACTCAAGCATCTTCAAAGGACATTCCTACATTTGAAATTCAGAAACAAATGCTTTAATATCGATGTTGATATCTAATATTTATGTGGGAAATATTTGCACGCAGAACTGTAATGATCAATTTACAGCGGCGAAGAAAATATCGTCGTCGCACGACTACGACGGAAGCCAGCGTTCAAGATGAGGTCATGAACATGCTTGAAGCTGATGAAATAGCCGAGAAGGCATCGGAGGATGCTGAGGTCACCGTTGAAGATGGCAGAAACGAGGTTGGATCGAAGCGGGAGAGCTTGCTCCGTTTGGACCCGTGCATGGATAAACATTGTGGCGCAGGACGAGTTTGCAAGGTTCGTCAGTGGCGATAATTCCATCTTTAATTGCGAATTTGTTTCGCAAAATGACGATCAGCTTGAGAAAAGAACTTTGACCGAATTAATTCTTTGATACGTCAATTGGATAATAATAGAATAATTTTCTTTCAATAATAAATGAAAATTAGAACAGAAGAGAGACTCTGAAATAAAACGTTGTACTAAAACTTCGGAGCTTCCGGATTCGGGACGTTCATTTCGTTCGCTAAGAGTACGCCCATTGCAAGAAGTACTCTTGTTTTAGGCAGTAGACGAAGAAACAGCTGAATGCGTTTGCGTCGAAGTATGCGACCAGGAAGTCGATCCGAGGCGAAAAGTTTGTACTAATTACAATGAGACTTTCGGAAGCGATTGCGAAGTCTACCAGGCGCGTTGCTTCTGTGACACCGACGACGCCAGATGCAAAGGCTCTGATTATCAGCACGTTCACATCGAGTATTACGGCGAATGCAGACAGATGCCCGTAAGTATATCAGCTCGAGATATAGGGCTGAGACAAGTAATTGTATAAGTAAAAATGTCGACCAGCAACAACAAAGCTTTCTCGCGGAACCTGAAACGAAACATAGCAATTCAATTATCGCTGACTGATAAAACTGGATACTCCTAACCAGAATTATATATCTTATCTTCCGCGTATTGTTCTATCATTGTAGGAACGATTTCATTGCAATTCCATGGCTGCGCTTGCAGTTTTTTAAAACGCGACACACGTGTGTTTATATTATATAACAAATAGATTTAAATCTCTGCGTGAATTAATACAATAAATAATAATAAAAATGCAGTAAATTATTTTCTTGATGTGTTGTTAACACCTAATCGAGCGTTTCGTATCAATCATTATTTATTTTACGACAGATGTGCAAAGAAGAGGACATGGCCGATTTCCCAAGACGTATGCGCGACTGGCTATTTAACGTAATGAGGGATCTTGCCGATCGTCAAGAATTACCGTCACATTATTTGAAGATGCAACGCGAAGCGGAAACGAACCACACGCTGCGCTGGACGAACGCTGCCATTTGGAAGTGGTGCGACCTGGATGGTCACCCTCATGACAGGGCGGTTTCCAGGCACGAACTCTTCCCCATCAGAGCACCGCTGATGGCCCTCGAGCATTGTATTGCACCGTTCCTCGACTCTTGCGATGTCGACAACGACCACAAGATTACTCTAATCGAATGGGGCAAATGTTTACAACTCGACGAGGTAATTAACAAAAAACTAAAAATATATCCATCATTTTTTACCTTACTATAATTACAAAATATTATTATATCTCAAATAGTGACAGCAGATATTTAATATTATTTTTAATCGAAGATTTTTAGATTTAAAATATTAATTTAGGATCGAACAAAACTATTTTTGCTCTACTCATTTATTCAAACATGTGAAATCGTTCTAATTCGATTGATATCAATTACAATAATCGTAGGATGATTTGGAAGATAAATGTGACGAGCTGGCGGAAGCGACAAATTTCGAGCAATAACTACGATAAATTCCAACGAAAGGCGGTTACGACTTGATAAGCGGAACGGAAGGTACAAAAAAGACGGGGAGTAAACACACGGCGCGGACGCTGCTGCGTACATCTAGAAAAGGGCAACGAAGGTGGAAAACGGCGGGAAAAATTGCATGTAAATTGCTGCACCTGGCAACGCGCATGTCTACGCAGAGACTCGTCGATATTGCAACCCGTCCGTGATGGTCGTGCCAACAGCAGTTTTAGACAGTGCTCCCTAATAATATAGAGATATGTGCACGTTGGGGATCGTTCGCGATTTTTCTCTAATAAGTTTTTAATTAATACGTAAACGAACACTGTCATACGATAATTGTCCATATTGCTGGTTTCCTATCCCTATATTTAGTATAATCTTGATTGTATTGTCCTCGTAGCAACAACGTACGTATTTTCTATATATACACACGCCCACACGCATATATACCTGCATACATTTTGTATAGGTCTGTTATGTGACTGCCTTTTTCTTAATAAAGAATGATACATTTTATTTAACATTTGCAATGATAAATTGATGACACATATGCTTCATGGTGTCAGATGTTAAAAACCGATGGAACGTGTATATATACTTTTTTTTCAGGAATAATTTCGTTCATGGCTTTATCGAATATAAAGTAGATCGAAATGTCATTTCGTTTTATACATTTGTACGATTCCTTTGAAGTCAAGTGTTAATTTCATTTTATTTTATCATAACTAAAGATATAACGCTTTTAATTGTTAGAAGACGCGCGTAATCTTTATTAAAATTTTTATTTCTTATTAAAGTTTTATTGCAGTATTGTCTCATCTTGTATTAAAGTTGTGATAACACGGGGTGAGGATCAAATTATATAAATGAAACGGTTGTTCATTTTATGGCGTACTTTGGTAAGATAGACAAAAGTCTGTTCAATATATATCAAAATCATTTTCTCGTAATCGTTCTATCATTGTTGGAAATCTAAACGTTTAAACGAGTCAAAGTTCTACTAAGTAAAAAAAATTCAAACAATGTAGTTGTATTGTATGGAACGTGAGACAATAGGAAAAATGTAAAATCAAAAATAAGTGATCGTACAAGTGGTCTGAAATTAAAATAGACTAAGAAGTGTTTGATAAATTGGAAATAAATAGTAAGTGGCCGGTGTGAATAATAACGTAGTGTCCACGTTAGACAGTATGGAAAATTACCCAGGCGCAGGTCGAGGATAGGCAATGGGACGAGACGGCGTTCAAGTGGTACTACGAGATTAGAAACGTTATATTCACCGAGGGAGGTTATATTCTCTCGCCGAAGTGTAGTAACGTCCGAGCGCCGACAGATGGCAAGGAGATGTTCATCGGGCCTCTGTGATTGGTCTGCCGTTGTCACGTGGGACGATCATGGTACACGCCGGCAGCGCCAAGTGTATTTGGCGGGACCGCGTTTAGACGGCGTCGTCTGTGCTTCTGGCAAGTCTGTCGTGTAGTGAACCGCAAAGGCTCTTGTCGGATAATGGTGAGTATCCGCCAGTTTTCAGCGGTTCCTTTAGCCATCCGTGTCTGATGTCAACAGCATCGTGTTCGACAATGTTCACGCTGTCATCTGGCCAAGTTTCGTTTCCGTGTCTCGCAAATTAACCCTGATTTTCGTCTCTGAACAGGCTGGCGGAAAGGCGGGCAAGGACTCTGGTAAAGCGAAGGCGAAGGCGGTCTCTCGTTCAGCGAGGGCCGGCTTACAGGTGAGTTTATTGCCTACTACTCAACTAATTCGGATACGTAGAATACGGTCTCGCCGATATTATTTTTCGACAAGTTACGCGTACGCGATTATTTTCAAGATAAACAGGTTAAACCACGATGGTTGGCGCGAAAAACCGAAGCGTTTTTAGATGCCTAATGAACAGTTCATTTCTTTAGCGTTCTCGCGATTTTAGTACAAATACAATGTATGACAGTGCTTCGTTTCACTTTGCTTTACACCTGTTACGTCAAATTACCAAGGTATACGTCGTGTAAATAGATTATTTTTTGAATTGAACATCCAGTCGTTACGTCTACGTTCGCAAGTTTTCAAACGAGACGGTTGACTCTGTGTACACCCCCTCTCCTCTCGTATCTTTCAATTCAGCCACTAATATGACTTTCATTGAAATAGTTTTTTAAATAAATTGTTATTGTACAATTGTCCAATTCGAATTAGACGCTAACAATAATTTCGATTTCGCCAATATTGCATCAGTTTCGGCGAAATAATTCAAGCTGACAACAAATATCGAAATTTGCCTTCAACTTATTATATTCGTGTTCAATC